ACATTCGATTGTCGTCAATGGATGGCAATCGATGTCCGTCGGTGATTGGCACTAGATTGTGGAACAGAGACCGACGTTAAATAAAGGAAAAAAAAATCAGAGATAATTGTTGATCTTCAAGGATCTTAAATATTCAGGGATTTAGCAACTTTGTAGATTTTTAGGAAAATTTGCAGAACTTCTGAAGAACACACAGAACTTCAAAGAAATCTGTAGAACTACCGAGACATTTGCAGATTGTCAGGAAAGATTGTTGATCTTTAAAGAAATTTTACCGGAGAACAGAAACAAAACTTCAGGGACGTCAGAAGGTTTGAAGACCTTTCAGAATTGAGTTGTTAACATAAATTTTCAGAACTCAAGGAATTATGTATATATAGTAAGAACTTTTCCCACTAGTTTGTCTAAAGTTGGTATCGACATCCTGGCGAAGTTTTAAAATCCATTTTCATCTTCATATCGCAGATCTTGATGGACAAGATGAGCCAGATCAATGCCGGTGTTCCTCCTGAGCAACCATTCCCTGCTCCAGAAAGTTCGCCTTCTCTTTCTCATTTTATTTAAAATAATAAAAGCAAATACGTCTGCCGAAACTAGAGCAATTTTCCGGTAATTCATGATGGAAATATTTACTTTTGATTCCTGATACAGTTTTGTTTTGAAATCTAAATTGACAGTTCTTTCGACATGTGCAAGTAGAGTGAACACCAGCAAACAGGGGGGTTCGACAAAGTGTGTCGAAAGTAAATTCGAGCAGATTTTTCATTATGGCGGCGGTCAAAATCAAAAAGATAGTCTAAACGGACCTTTAGAGATTTTAGACATGTGAAACCATTATTTATTCTGTCTTGATCTTCCAAACAGAGTTGGACTCAAACATATTATCAAAATGATAATTTGTTTTTGAAAGCATATTGTTATCAAATTTTAATATATCGTTTTATCGAAATACTATAGACAGGTTTCTAACTTGTATTTATATTCTTGAATCAAAAAAATACTACACAAATACCAAAAAAGAATGTAATATTCATTGACGTAATGCATGCTACTGTATGAATAACTAATGTAATTGCAAAAACCAAATACAATATTAGACCCATAGATATAATTTCTTTTCGCAAATTATGTGTAGGATAAATGCACCAATAGTGGAGATACTTTAGTGCAATGTGTTCCTATGGTGGCTTATAGAGTCTCCCTAAGCCGCTTTAGAAGTACATTGTACTAACGTACCTCCACTATTGGTGCATTTACTAAACATAAATTGTACAAATTAATATTAAACAACCTATGTGCATCTGTTCTGCTGTAATATTCAATAACTTTTTTGCTGTGCCGACTTATAAGCACCAACGCCCAAGTTTGAATAATCGAAAATAACATAAATCAATAAGTACATAAAAGGGATTCCAGATGGATAAATAGATAAAATAATAATGTGTATAATTTGTATGCACCTGGAATTTTTTTTCATTCGACCTGGAAAAACCTGGAAAACTCAGGGAATTTGATTCCTTGGATTGAGTAGACACCCTGTCAATGGATTGAGCTTCGTTTGAGTTTACGGAACTGAGTTTAAGTTCAAGAAACTTTGTGGAAGTACAGAAACCTTCGTAGAAGTGCAGAAATTTTCGTAGTTAAGAGAACACTGTTGATGTTCAGCAATCATTGTTTGAGTTATAGGAAACTCGAAGAAGTTCACCAAACTTGGTGGAAGTTCAAAGAATTCCCTTAATGTTTAGGAATGTTATTAGCGACGGAAAAATCGTAGATGCTCACAGAACTTCTTACAAGATGACAGCATTTTCCAGAAGCTTACGGAAGGCTCCATAAGTTCATAGCATTTCATAGGGGAAACTTCTGATTCAGTAGAAGCTCAGGCAGAATCGTAGAAGTTCAGCAAACTTCTTAGTATGTAATTCAGGAATTTTCGTATCAGTCTAGGATGCTTCGTAGTATTTGATCAGAGAATTTAATTTGAAAAAGATCAATGAACTTCCTGGAAGTTTAGGAGACTTTGTTTATTTTCAGGGAACTGCTCAGAAGTTCAGAAGTGATCAGCTTCAGAATCTTCCCAGAATCTCGGAGGAGTGCATAGATGTTTTGAGATATTTTTCATATTCTTCTTCTTCTTCTTTTTCTTCTTATTCATCTTCTGGACCGGGACTCAAATCCAGCCACCTCCAGCATAGTTCTGCTTTGTAGCTGCACCTTTACCGACTCAGCTAAGAGGAGGCCTTCTGACATCTTGGTAGAATTAAAATTTACGGAACTTGGAAGTTTCTAAAAGTTTAGGGAATATTGTAGATATTTAGCAAACATTTTATGCGTTTTAAGAAATTCGTACAAGTTTTGCAAACTTGGTAGGAATTCTGTAGATGTTCAGTAATCATTGTATGAGTTATAGGAAGCTCGAAGAAGTTCACTAAACTGTGTACAAATTCAAAGAATTTCCTTAATATTTAGGAAACTTATTAGCGATGGAAAAATCGAAGATACTTACAGAACTTCTTAAAAGATGACAGCTTTTTCCAGAAGTTTACGGAAGTCTCCATAAGTTCATGGCATTTTATAGGGGAACCTTCTGACAAGGGAATTCAGTAGAAGCTTAGGTAGAATCGTAGAAGTTCACCAAACTTCTTAGTATGTAATTCAGGAATTTTCGTATCAGTCTAGGATGCTTCGTAGTAGTTGATCAGAGAATTTAATTTGAAAAAATTCAATGAACTTCCTGGAAGTTAAGGAGACTCCCTTTATTTTCAAGGAACTGCTCAGATGTTCAGAAGTGATCAGCTTCAGAATGTTCCCAGAATCTCGGAGAAGTGCATAGATGTTCTGAGATTTTCTTCTTCTTCTTCTTCTTCTTCTTCTTCTTCTTCTTCTTCTTCTTCTTCTTTGTCTTCTTCTTCGTCTTCTTCTTCTTCTTCCGGACCGGGAATCAAATCCAGCCACCTCCAGCATGGTTTTGCTTTGTAGCTTAACCTTTACCGACTGTGCTAAGGGGAGGCCTTCTGACATCTTGGTAGAATTAAAACTTATGGAACTTGGAACTTTCTAGAAGTCTAGTGAATATTGTAGATATTTAGCGAATATTGTATGCGTTAAAAGAAACTCGTACAAGTTTTGCACACTTTGTGGACATTCAGAGAATTGAAATGAAGCTTAGAAAAGTTTTTATTAGCTATAGAAAAATCGTAGATGCTCAGAGAACTTCTTAAAAGTTGACTGCATTTTCCAGAAGTTTACGGAACTCACCACATGTTCAGATTCGTTTGAGCTCAAGGAACTGTGTTTAAGTTCTTCTAATTCGTGGAAGTACAGAAACCTTCGCCTTCTGTCGACGACGACGATGACGAATGGGTATTAAATTTGCAACATATTTACAATCACGTTAAGCGGAAAGGCACAGGGGTTGAATCGAAAATCTAAAATAGTGACCATCATAAAAAGGTGTTAGGTTTTGAATGCTTATAACTTTGTCGTTTATAGATGAAATTATAATCCGAAAACATCAATCAATAGGAAATAACTTTACAAATCTATTGAAATAAATAATTTAAATTTTCCAGAAAAATGTCACGGTTTTCATTAAATAAACGTTTTCCCTAACCCAGACGTCATAATCGAGTACCACTTGGTTGCGCATTGTTCTGCTTGAACCTGCAATGAACCTGTAAACTCACTTTTGAACCGGACTATGATACGTAGCTATGATGCTTACTATCAAAACATTTATCAGATGAAGAACCTGTATACGAGTTTAGGCTCTGATTTTGAAATTGAATAACTGAATCCCCCTAATTTTCAATTAATGTTGTACTACGCACCTACTAATTGGAAACCAAACGTGTGATTTGAAAAAAAAGTCTCTTCTACTTCTATTGTATTTTAAATCAATATTAAGAAATATGTACGAGAAGTTTACTAAACAGCTCAACGTAGTCAACATCAACTATGCGGTCGTGTCTTGTACACAACTTCACATTGTGTGTCACATTGTTGTGTCATTTTGTACTTACAGCGGTCAAAGATCTTCAGCTGCTCACAAATTAAAAAGACTCCTCTAAGATATTCTCCTTAGTTGGCAGGGTGATCAGAGGCTACTCAAAAGATCTCCAGCTGATTGAAGATTTTAATAAAGTCTTCTGGATATTTTTTAAGACTTATGATCATCAAGCATCATTCTGAAAATCTTCAACTGTTCAAAAATGAAAATGTCGTCCATCAGGTATGCTCCCAAGATGTCGGGTTTATCAGGGAGTATTCAAAAGATTTCCAGCTAATTCAATTAAAGTCTTGTGCATTGTAAGCTCGATCGAGTATTATTCTGAAAAGAAAAACTCATTTTGGTTACATTACTGATAATCAACATTTTCAAGAAGGTGCTAAAAATATTAAGTCAAAATCTTCATTTGATCTGCTTGAAATAAAAAAAAACCCTCAAAAATCATCTACAATTTCAACATGTCTTCCAAAATCTTCACAAAACATTAAATTCTTCAAATGTTCACGGGAAATAAATTTCTTCGAAATGAAGACATGTCTTCATACCAGCCATTCCAGTTATTAATAGCTATGGCTGGAACAGGGCCTCTCCGCAGCTTAAGCCGTTTTATACCCTTTGAATTATTGGAAATCTTGGAAAACATCCTGCTACCTAGTGTCAGCAACGGTACTTAAACATGCAAGTAAACATTGATTATAGTTAAGGAACGAGTTAACTGCAATTTTCACACATTTTTATGAAATTAACTCAGTAACGTGATACCAATTTTAAATCATGTTCTGTTGCGCTGTGATGCACACTACTCGGGTTGCCTTTTCTGATGCAAAACTGACCTATGGAACCGGAAATCGTGTCGATGAGAATTCAGAATTGCAGAAAATTCTATACTTTTTCTTGCTTTGAGATTTGAAATTTGAGATAATTTTTCTTGCTCACATCTATTGAGTTCAGCAATTTCTAACCCCCATTTCCTTTGCTTCTCCCATTCCAGACCACCAAGGAACGATGACCCTAATCCTGTCGTGGCTCTTCATCCTGGCCCTGATCGTGCCGGATCTGTCGTCCAGTCTGCTGCACTGCCCATTCCGGTGCCACTGCGACGATGAAAAGCTGGACGTCAACTGCGACGAAGGTCACCTGGAAGTGGTCCCAATCGCGCTGAACCCATCGATCCAACGGTTGGTTATCCGAAACAACAAGATCCGCATCATCGACTCGACGGTGCAGTTCTACTCCGAGCTAACGCTGCTGGATTTGAGCTTCAACTATCTGTTCAACATTCCGGATCGGACCTTTGGGCGGCAGAATAAGCTGCAGCAGTTGCATCTGAACCACAACAAGATCAGCGTGGTCTCGAATAGGACCTTTCTGGGATTGGGCAATTTGCTGGTGTTGAATCTGCGAGGGAACCTGATTGATCAGATTGAACCGATGTCGTTTACGCCGTTGGCGAAGTTGGAGGAGCTGAATTTGGGTCAGAATCGGATTACGAGTGTTGGACTGTCTACGAAGGGGTTTTTTGGGTTGATGGATTTGAAGATTCTGTACTTGGACGACAATCGGTTGGAGGTGGTTCCTCCGGAGGAGACATTTCAGCCGGTGGATAAGCTGGCAGAGATGTACATCGGGACGAATTCGTTGAAGGTTGTGAAGCATGGAGCATTTGCAGTGCTGTCGGAGTTGACGCTCCTGGATGTGAGAAGTACGTTGTTGAGCAATGTGAGTGCGGAGACGTTTTCCGGAATTGAGAACATCAAAAGTCTCAATCTGGCGGATAATCGGTTCGAGCGGATTCCTTCGCAAGCACTGGCAGCGCTGAAGCGGTTGGAGGAGCTTTCCATTGGGCAGAATCATTTTGAAACCGTACCGGCCAACTCATTTAGAGGATTATCGAATTTGAAACGATTTGAACTGAGAGGTTCACTTTACCTGAGGAGAATCGAGAAGGCAGCATTCCACACCAATACGAATCTGGAGAGTATTGCCATTGAATCGAATAAGGCCCTGCACGAGCTGGAGGAGGAGACCTTCTCGGGGTTGTTGTTTTTGAAGCATCTAAGTCTGAGGAATAACGGCTTCGAGCGTTTGGACGAAAACATGTTCTCCTGGAACAGTCTACGGACGTTGGACATTTCGGATAATCCGATAAATTGTGATTGCTACTACTCCAAGCTGCTGCACCGGTTGCAATCGTCCAGCAGGATTGGCTACAACGCAACCGGTTGCCCGCACCATCTGCCCGATCAGTGGGAATGCGAGTACGCATTGGACAGGAACAAGAACCTAATCTCGGTGCTGGTGCTGGCGGTGGCCATCGTGACAGCGATTGCCCTCACCTTCTACCGTTTCCGGGGACTGCTGCGGGAGTACATTCATAACGGGTGCAAGAACAAAGCGCACGGCGGTGGGACGGGCGGCGTCGGTGCCATTCCGAGAAGCGATATCAACAGTGTGGACTACGAGAAAACCATCACCGAGGATGATTACGTGATCCGGCAGAGTAATTTGTACAGCAACCAGGTACAACCAATTCTCACAGACTATCCAGCCTACATGCAGCAGAATAATGTCTACTACAACAAGCCGCTCCCGATTACCGAGTTATAGTATTGAAAGCTAGTCGAGTGTGATGTCAGTGTGTAAATTAATTTGAATGCTCTACGCTAATCCCATTCGCTGTCGGACTCTCTCCCTCTCTCTGTCTGGCATTTGCTCGCTTTCAAACTTCCGGCAACACGATTTTCCGAACTAGTCTGGAATCATTCCAAATGTGAACTGATACCTTACAAACTTCCAGAACATAGTCACAACATACCATCATGTACGACCTTTCGAACGGCGATAATAGCCGAATCGGATAAGCCCTCCTCTGCAGCAGCACCACTTTAAAAATATTCAATTAAAACAAACGAGGAGATATCCTGGTGCTGAAAACGAAACCATACACTCAATCCCTCGGCTTGGCTTCGGTTTGGCAGGGAAAGAGTAAGTGAAAAACTTTTTCACCAGGTACCTGTTTGGTATTCCAAAAAGGGCAACACTCGGCCGGCAATTCACCCATTCACACGTGTTTGGACAAAATGCAATCTCCTCCACTGCTTTTGGCACATTGTTTCCACTGTATGCCGTGCCATGCTTGGATTGTTACATGTAGAGGGAGAGAGCGGGAAAGTCCAAAGTGATAATAATTCCATGGAAATTGTAGCAATACCATTTAAGTTTAAACTGTAATTGTTGAAGGTTAGTGAAAACCTCGGAGACGAGACGAGGGCGGTAAATGGTAGGTGGCTCAACCTTCTCGTCCTCCTCCTCCTCCTTGGATTGGCAAGTATAAGCAGCGCGCGGGATTATTCGCACCACGACGGTATAATCCATGAGGTGCCTCGAGCAGGCCGGATGGACCTCTGCTGCCGGCGCGTTTGGTTGCGAGCAGATACGTGGAATGCTTTTCCTGGCATTTTTTGTGTTGTGTTTTTCATGGAACTGCTTCCTGGACTGGACACACGTCCAAGAAGAGAAACTCTGCGGTCAGACCGGGAATTTTTGCCACGGAAAATGGTTGGAATATTCACAGGTGGATGGGCTTTTTTTAGAGTGAAATTCAGTACGGGTTTTTGGGGATGTCGTGGAAATTCAATCCTGACAAGTCTTTTGCGGGGAAAATGGTCTTCGCGGATGCTGCTCATTTTGAACGCTGATCTTCTCTAATCTCTGAGATTTCGAAGAAGGTGATGGACTTAAACATAACGACATAATCGGTAATATTGGCGTCGGTACACAATTTGAGTGTACAGCACAAAAAAAATATGCACAGCAAAAAATTCTGAATTTTAATTGTGATGGCAACAGTCTTTTTTTTCCTTGATTTGTTTTCCGTCGATCTTGTTTTCCATGCTGAGCACCAATGCTACCGACGCCAGGGAGGCAGCTCCCACACCTGGACCCTACCTATCGAGCCATCAACTCATGAACCGGGAGCAACAACTTTACTTCCCATCACTAGCGTGCACAGGAATCTTGTTAAGGAGGGACATTTTTTTCTATGGTGCATTTAATCTGGGGATGGGGAGTATTTCAAAGTGCGTGGTGGATGGTGCTGTGCACCCACCACTGTTTCCTTACTGTTCAATTTAGCAAATTTATTTATTTTTTGCTCCGGTGGTGGTTCATCTTCTCAATGCATACTGCTTTCAGATAGCCTATGGAATTTGCAATTTAATCCCATCATTATCAATATACCTGATGACAATCACCAACTGCTCGTCGTGGCAATTTTTGGCACCTTCCGCCAAGTGTTTTTTTAGCACAGGATCGTAGTTAGCCACCAACTGGGTGGCACACTTTCCACTCCTTCCGAAAATTTGAAATAAGAAAACTAGAGCAAAACAACTGTTTTTTAGAGACACCCTAACTCAATTCAAGAAAATAGCTCTACATCGGTCAATATAAGAGATACAAAAAAGTCTTTCTACAAAATTGCTTGAAAGTAGCTCAGCTATAACTTTGCCGAAAAATGTATACCTTAATTTCTTCAAACAAAAAAGTTAGATTGATTTCAATGATAATAAGAACCACCCTGGAAATCATCGTCATAAAAATGAGGGCCTAACTATAAGGAACAACTTTGTAAAGAGACTTTTAGTCTAAAGTTTCAATTTCAGGCTCAAAACACATCATTCCACCTAAATCTGCATTCTGGACCACTGTGTAATGTTCAATGGCAAACTAATACCCACTTTTCAATTAGGGAATCCAAAAGCTGTCTTTAAACTTTGTACAGTTGCGAAAAAGTCCATCCTTAGAATTTCTTGAGGTTCTATTCGAAATTTTTAGATATCTATTCGCTCTTTTGAAATTCTTCTCCAAAGGCCTCTGGAATTATTTTAAGAACTCTTCTTGACTATTGATCAGAACACCTTGGAACTGAAATTCCCTTGGAGTTTCAGAAGAATTTCCTCAGTATTATCCAGAAATTATTCCCGGAATGAGCTAGAAATTATGGGTACCCCCTTGAAATTTTCCTCAATATCCCTTTGGAATTTCACTCAAAATTTAATTTTTTCAGTATTCTTTTCGGAATTATTTTGGAACTATCTGCAGGATTAACTAGAAATTATTCGCAGAAATTTCTTGGAATACTCCCCAGAAATTCTTTGGAACTGTCCTCAGAATTCAATATCCTTGAGGTTCTTATCGGATTTTTTAGAACTCTCCTACGAGCTCTTATGCAATTCTTCTCAGAAGTCCACTGGAGTTATACTTAGAAATCTTCCTTTTTTTTCTTAGAACCCCTTAGAACTGAAATTCCTTTAAAGTTTCAGAATTTTTTCCCGGAATGAGCTTGAAATTATCCTCGGAATTCCCTTGAAATTTTCCTCAACATCCCTTTGAAATTTCACTTAAAATTTGATTTTCTCGGTATTCTTTTCGAAATTATCTTGAAACTATCTGCAGGATGAACTAGAAATTATCCACAGAATTTTCTTTGAATTCTCCCCAGAAATATTTTGGAAGTGTCATAAGAATTAAATATTCTTGAGGTTCTCCTCGGTGTATTTTATTACTTTTTTTTCTCAGAACACCTTGGAACTGAAATTCCTTAAAAGTTTCAGAACAATTTCCTCTGTATTCTCCAGAAATTCTTCCCAGAATGAGCTTGAAAATATCCTCGGAATTCCCTTGAAATTTTCCGCATCATCCCTTTGGAATTGCATTCAAAATTTGATTTTCTCGGTATTCTTTTCGAAATTATCTTGGAACTATCTGCAGGATGCATATCCTTGAGGTTCTTCTCGGAATATTTCAAAACTTTTTTTTTTCTCAGAACACCTTGGAACTGAAATTCCATAAAAGTTTCAGAAGAATTTCCTCTGTATTCTCCAGAAATTCTTCCCAGAATGAGCTTGAAATTATCATCGGAATTCCTTTGAAATTTTCCTCAACATCCCTTTGGAATTCCATGAAAAGAATTGGATTCTCTCGGTATTCTTTTCGAAATTATCTTGGAACTATCTGCAGGATTCACTAGAAATTATTTGCAGAATTTTCTTGGAATACTCCCCAGAAATCTTTTGGAACTGTTCTCAGAATTAAATATCCCTGAGGTTCTTATCGGATTTTTTAACACTCTCCTAAGAGTTCTTTTGAAATTCTTCTCAGAAGTCCGCTGGAGTTATACTTAGAACTCTTCATGTTTTTTTCTTAGAACACCTTGGAACTGAAATTCCTTGAAAGTTTCAGAAATTTTTCCCGGAATGAGCTTGAAATTATCCTCGGAATTCCCTTGAAATTTTACTCAACATCCCTTTGAAATTTCACTTGAAATTTGATTCCCTAGGTATTCTTTTGAAATTATCTTGGAACTATCTGCAGGATTCACTTGAAATTACTAGCAGAATTTTCATGGAATCATCCCCAGAAATCTTTTCTTTTGGAACTGTCCTCAGTATTCAATACCCTTGAGGTTCTTCTCGAAAGTCAAGTTTAAGTTGACCGTCCATTCACCAGAACTGTGCAATTTTTACGTTAGGAATTTTCAATTCAGATTGCTGCAAATCTTACACCAGAAATTTTCAATACAAACTTGCCCCCAGGTAATTTTACACCAGAAAATTTCAAATGTCCAGAACGATACAAATTTTTCACCGTTATTTCAAATAAATAAAATCAATAAAAATCGCTTCTCCAATCTTCTGATTGGTGCAGATTTCCTTTTTCCATTTTCCACCAGACATTTTCAATATAGCTGGTTTCTCCTATCATCGGAATGTTTCATGTTTTCCAACAAATAAAGCTTGCCCTTATTTTCAGATTTTTTATCCTAAATTTTCAGTAAATCAACTTCCCTCCAATCATCAGAATGGTGCAAATTTTACACCAGAAATTATTCTTAAAATTTGTTTCTCTATTGCAAACAAATGAATGCAGGATGCAAATTTAAGACCAAAAATTTTCCGAAAAGCTTGTCCATCCGTTTACCAGAACGGTGCAGATTTTCCACCAGAAATGTTCAATATAGTTTAATTTTAAATAAAGCTCGTGCCTTCATTTACCAGAACGGTGCAAGTTTTCCACCAGAAATTTTCTGTTTATTTCATTAATCAGAGCAATGCAAATTTTGCACCAGAAATTTTCAATAAAGCATGCTCCTCCATTCACCAGCAAGGTGCACCAAAAATTGTCAGTGAAGTTTGTTTCACCATGCACCTTTGTGGTGCAATTTTCAGGCTTTGCCTCTTCATGTACCATACATTTTCGATGAAGCTTGCATTCATCAGAACGATGCAAATTATGGACCAGAAAAATGAATAAACCTGCGAACTTTCCACCAGAAACTTTCAGCTAAATGTGCACCTCCAAATTTTTTGCGTTATGCAATTTTTCCACCAGAGTTATTCATTTAGATTAGTCCCTCCATGCACACTATACTGATGCAAAATTTGACTTTTTCGCTCCACAGTGCTTAAATGGTTTCAAATTGGGTCCTGATTAGCCTCCCAAAGTTACAACTCATTCGGTTAGAAACAGACTTCGCACAAGTCATTTGAAGTTTGCATGTAAATTACTATGGGAAATCTCAACTTTTTGTTCATTGCCTTCTAGTCTTTTTCCATATTGAGCTGCGAAACAGTTCGATAACCATTCTTATAGAAAATTTTCTCAGCTACAACTTTGATGAAGATCGTTTCTACGTAAAACGAGACAGGAAAAAGTTATTAATTATTTAAGAGATTTGTAAACTTATGACATGATCAAGCAGCTGCTCTGTAGGCAACACTGTATTTTGCAGCGTGACATAGTAGCCATGATTTTTGTGTCCTATTCAAC